TCAATTATGGTTTTTTGCAATGCATAAGGGTTAGCATATGCCTTGCACCTCACTGGGTGGTCAGTAGTAAGTTTGATCTCATGAATACCTACGTTTGATCTACCAGGCATATCAGTTAGGGTGCCAGAATATTGTTGCAATATTTCCTTCACCTCTGTAATCCTGCTTTCTGGCAACTCCGGACCCAAATCGTCTCTTGCCTTTTCAAGGGAACGAACTCAATGAGATCTGGTGACCGAGTTCCAGGTCCATCCTCTCCCTCATCCTCTGGTCGTTCCATGACCAAACCTAGGGATACATACAATAGTGTTCCCTGAATATCCTTATCAACATTCTTTACACCCTCACCTATCACCTTACTCTCCTCGTATTTCTTTAGCATATTTATATATATAAACTTAATTTTACCCTTTTTATCAATTCGATAATCAACTGACCCAACACATTCTATGACTTTAAAAGGAACTTGCCATTGCATTCGCAACTTATCTGTTGTCGTGGGTAATAACAGTAAAACCTTATCACCTACCGCAAACATACGGGGTTTAGCTTTTTGGTCAAAGTGAACACGATATCGCTCACCAGATTTAGCCAGTTCCCGTTGTGCCATGTGATAAGTTGTTTCTAATCTGTCTCCCAAATCAATAACATACTCACATGTGGTCTTGACTTCAGGATTTGACACCTCACCTGTCCACAACTCTGAGTATTGTCATGGGACCCCTCACTGTCCTACCATGTAGTAGTTCAAATGGCGAGAATCCCAAACTAGACTGTGGTGCTTCTCGATATGCAAACAACAATGGTGCCACATATCTGTCCCAGTCTCTGTCCCGTTCTGCACACATACGTTTTAACATTCCCTTGAGTGTAGCATTAAATCGTTCCACCAGTCCATTACATTGTGGATGATAAGGAGTGGTTACCAGTTCACTTCCCCCATCACTTCACTTACAAACTGGGTACCTTGGTCGGTCAACACTTGTTCAGGGAACCCCACACGACTATATATGGCAACCAAGGCCTCGGCGACCACCTCTGTTGTAATTCGTACAGCGAGGTATAGCCTCAGGAGAAAGGTAGCATAGTCAACAACTGTAAGTATGTATTGATGACCACTAGTGGTAGCTGGTTGCATGGGTCCCACCAAATCAATTAATCAATTAATGGCATCGTGCCCAAAGGGGCTTTGCCTACCTTCCTTTTTGGTATGGTGCACTGACAGACGTCGCACGACTGACAGTATCGTTTGATGTCATCATGCATGCCTGGCCAATAGAATTTAGTAAATACTTGATCAACTGTCTTTTGACTACCTAAATGTCAAGCCAAAATTGAATCATGGGCCAGTTTCATAACACCCATACGAAACATGGATGGCACAACTAACTGTTTAAAATTTCCCCCAAATTCCAAAGCAGGGGAGTGGTAACAACGATATAGCAAACCATTTTTTTTAAGGAACCTAGAGGTATTCTTAGTACCTACCTGGTTTTCTTTCCCAACTATGGGCCAGCTCCCATGCCCGATTGGGAGTCTTATCATGTTGGGCCACCCTCAATGATTCTAATGTTACTAGGATGCTATTCTTCGAGAACTCTGGAACAATTTGTGGCTGTACTGATTTATTCCTGGAGGAGAACTGCGCTCTAGTGACCACTCCCAATGACACGTCGTTTCTGGGAGGAGTAGCAACGTTTACTGAAACCCCAGACTGTCTATTGGGAGTTGGACAAATGACGACATAACCCTCCCTCCGTTCCTTAGAGGGTCGCACATCATTCGTGTTGTAAGGACTAGCACCTGTATTCCGTGTTGTAAGGACTTGGACCTGCATTCGTGTTGTAAGAACTTGCACCTGTATTCGTGTAGTAAGGATATGTACCTGTATTCGTGTTGTAAGGACTTGCACCTGTATTCGTGTTGTAAGGACTTGCACCTGTATTCGTGTTGTAAGGACTTGCACCTGTAATCGTGTGGTAAGGACTTGCACCTGTATTCGTACAATTCCTTGTGGCACATTTTTCCTCTCCACCGTATCCACTCAGATCAGGATGATTAGGCTCGCGTGCGCCTTCAATATTATCAATAACCAAGTCCCACAGTGGAGATTCAAAGCACAGTGCCCTCACAGGACCGATGTAGTAGGGAGTATGTACATAACATTCGGCTAAACCTGTATGGACCTTAGATCCGTCTATCAAAATACAAGTTCCCTTTCCCTCAATCATTTGGGAAGGGAGAACCAGGCTAGCTCGCACAGCCACCCAACTACACCCAGTATCTCTCAAGACCCTTACTGATTGCCCATTCACAAAACCCCAACCACCGGCATTGCTGACTCCATAGATGCATCGTCAATACCAATACCAGTTGTCGTTGGCATGGGAATGGGACTACCATTTTTTTGTTTTTGATACATCACCCGGATAAATGTCACCAGCATTGTTTATATCAAAACATTTGTTAACTGTATCAGTGGCATTGCTACATATACCTGTGGATGCAGTTAAAGCTTTGCCATGTACATCTTTTGTTGCATAACATGTTGCTTTCCGATGCCCGATGTTACCACAGCGGAAACACTGACCTTTACTGGTAGGGTCCTTATGCGTTTCATATGATGCGTTCTGCCCTTGCGTTGACTTAATCGACTGTGGTGCATTTTTCTGTGGTTTCGAACCTCCTAATAATTTTGCAGGAATGCCACTAAAATGACGGTTCTCCTCGCGCTTATCCGCATGTGTGGCCATGTCTCTGACGAAGGTACATGCGCCCTCTCGAAGATGCACTACTATGTCATAACCGCAAGTGGCTAGAAACTGCTCGCGGGCAATCAAATCCATCAGTGCCTCAACCGTGTCGTCAATACCTGCCAATTCTACCCATCTGGTCAAGTGTTTTTCCAGCCGTATAACAAACTGAAAGAAGGTTTCAAATTTAGTGGGTCGAGAATTTCTAAATTTGTCTTGATAACCTTCTTCTGTAAGGTTATAAGCTTTTAACATTGAGCAACGTACATACCTCCAATCATTTACCTGGTCTACTCCTAAGGCATTATAAATTGCTAATGCTTTGCCTGACAACTGCCCACTTAAAGCAACCCCACAGGTCACGCTTCCAATAACAATTTGTAGCAAAGATTTCGAATCGAGTTAAATAAACATCCATATCCTCCCCCTCCTTATAATCAGGTGGAGATTTAATTTTACTCACAAAGGGGGTAAATCATGTTTAGCTCTCACTTGCTGCGTGTCTCGTTTCAACTCAAATTCATGTTGTTCACGCAAACGCTCAATTTCCAGTTTACCACGTTCCTTATCTATCTGGGCTGCCCTTTCTTCCCTTATATCTTCTTGTTTTTGCTTAAACGCAGCACGAACATACTCTTCTAAAGCCCCACCTTCATACCCAAGTCCCCCCCCCTCTGCCCTTAGCTCTCGGATAAAAGCA